ACCATCCTACTAATAGTTATCAGGWAAGTCCTAGTATGTGTATACATTATAGCACTAATAAATTCTTTTTATTACAACTAATATAAACTCAGAGTGCTTTGAAAGCTATGTACTCACTCCTTTTGCAGCAGCATTTTTATGCTATTTCAAAAAATTTCTTTTTTTTTTAACAATCATATTTTACTGATTGTTAAAAATCATTAAAATGATTTTTAACATTTATTTCTACTTCTCTTAATTCATTCATTGCGAAATAAAACCACCATTGCATTTTGCTTAATTATCCTTTGCCTTCTATTGGATTTTTAGCCAGGATTTTGTTCAATAAAACAAACAGTMCCCAAAAGGCAAACAAACTGCAACTGAGGAAAAAGGTGACTTCCTGAAAGCACTGATAGTTCATCAAAACAATACTGCTACCCAGTGACAGATAAGATCAGAGGCCAACATGTTATGAGTAAAGATTACTACATCTAGTCCTGGGTGATGACAGAGTGAGAAAAGGCTCAGCAGTACCAATGGCATGGTGCTGTGCTGCACCCTGCAATGGCAGCACATCCTCCTTGAGTTCCTCTGCAGCAGGCTGAACTGGTCCTCTTTGATACCACAAAGCTGGAGGGTGACAGGGGAAAAAATTGCTGCAGTGTGTTCTGTCAATTGGTCTCCCTGGGCAATTCTGTCATAAAYAACCAGTGCTGTTTACTCATTCTTCATCTACAACAGTGTTATGCTCCAGTGTTGTGCCTCTGAGACTTTTACATTCTCTTCTGAGGACAATCCATGCAAGCCATTTTTCCTGCTGGCTCACYTATGCCAAGAGCAGCACACTGACTTCTTGAGACATTTTTCCATTAGGTAACTTTGCTGTGCTCTGCCATGTCCCTCTCTACCCACCTTGCCTCATGCACCATGTCAGGTCAGGATCCTCCTCTATGCTGTGATGAAATTCTGCATTTTTACCTTTGCTGCACCCTCGCACATCTAAAAGGAATTTCTCAAAGTAAATTAAAGGAAAATTGACCCTTTGCACCTTATACYAGAGAGTACACTTTATATTGCTAGAGAACAGCMGTGCCACCAAGTCAAACTAAGTGCRGCTAACCTTAGGAACATGGAAACAATGGTATGAGAATAGGTCAGGAACTTCAGTCTGTCCTCCCTTTCACACTTTACTCCACCAAGGAAGGTCCCTGGCTCAACACCAGCTGTTTGGTGCCTGTGTGAAGAGACCCTCAAACATCCTTAACCAGCCAGCAAAGGATTCCCTGTTTTAAGGCTGCCCTGAGAGCCAAAGCAGCCAGATCAATGCCTTTCATCCCACAGCTCTGGGCACAGAAGACACTTCYGCAGGAAGAGGCCGTGCCCAGAATACCAGCACAGCTTTATCAGCCAGCCAGAAATCACTGCTGAGAGCAGCTCTGAGGCTGCTTTACCTTACTCCAGGGACTGCTTTGGTGACCAGCCATCCCAGGACTGGGGGACAAAACAGGTGGCACATTTATCTTCACCTCCTCAGCACACTCCCAAGCTCAGTTTAACTGGATGAAGTGAGAGATTTTTCCCTTAGTGAACGATGCAAAAAGGGRCAGCATGCATTCACAAGCCTGGCCCTGCCTGTTAAAAATTAAAACCRTGGCACTGCCTCCCAAGAAACCTCAACAATGTGGTTGTATTTGCACACTAATTCAAAGTATGCATAGGTCCAACCATGACCCTGAAGTTCTGTTACCACTGAGTAAATACAAATGACGCTAAAGGCTTTCCTTATCACTCATCTTATGCAAACCAGTTTTATGCCTATTTAATTTCACTGGCTAAAGGGGAATGACTCCAGAGTTTCAACCAGTATGAGAGCACAATCCTGCATGCAATTTCCAGGAGCATGTTAAATTAATTCATCCATAAACAAAAAGCCTGTWTTACGTGACCAGCTCCAGGTTTTCTATTTTTGATATGTAACTAACTATAGGATTAGGAGAGTCTGTGTTCCTTCTTAAGAAAGGGCAGCTCTGCAAATCTGAAAGAAATACAGATGACTTTTGGGGGCRACTTCCTCCAGAAAGTAAGAAAGTAACTGGAAAGAAAGAAGCAGATCCTAATATTGTCAGGAAAGCCTTGCTTAGCGCCACTCTGGCTTGGGGAAATCTGCCTGTGCACAAACAGAGCCACAGGCGAATAGGGTTACTGTCAGTTATTGGTTTTGTATTTTACACCTCTTTGGCCATTTTGTCAGATGACCCTTATGCACACTGTAGCATAGGACATGTGATTACATCCCTTCCTGAAGTGCTCCTGATAACATTGTCAGATAAGGTGTTAAGGACATGAATCCTTACATTGACATAACTTTCACCTGTTACCCTAGTATCCTTACTAAAATTCAGCCCTTCCAGAAATATCATGCCATACATCACAAAAGGTAGCCTGAATCTTGCTGCACAGGATGCTGCATAAGTAATTTTCATATCCAGTATGAAATATGACTATATTTTTTTCAGAATATTTTATTATATCCGACTACAGATCTTCATAACTTACTGTATTTTCTGCTCACCTGGGGAAGAAGAATTACAGCAATCCAAAAAAGATATTTTAATTTCTATATATAATATACACATCAATGTACTTGGAATTACATCACCAATTATTTTTCATAATCTAAAATTGACAGTGGTTTCGTTCTGTGACAATGCCACCTTTACATTAGGCTGCAATAAGCACAAGAACGTGAAGGAGAAAGACCTTGCTACAGACATTTAAGAGCAGTTTTTAGTCTTTGTGGTTGTATAGACAGACCTTTCTACATACAATGAATCWATATACTTGTGTTTACCTGTTGACTCTGGCGGACTGCAGCTGCATCAAGTTTACCTTGTAACATGGCAAGATGCAATTAGTTACATAGAAATGCTATTAAAAAGCAGTCCAACACAAACATGTGCKTTTGCATGGAAACTTAGAAATGCAATCCTGACACTAATCTCTTAAAGAATCCAGTTCTTTAAAGTTTCAAACAGTACATGAATCAARTATGAATCAAACAGTACATGAATCAGTATAAAAGCAATCCCACATGGCATTGTAGTGCATCTTGCCTGAACCCAGTAAAAAGAATTTAAATTATTCAGATTTAAGAAAAAGCACAAAAATCTACTCAGTATACCTATACTTAGTTGTGAAAGTGAAATTTAGACCTTTTTTTTTTAAACCCACTAAAATTCAAGAAAATAAGTGTTGTAAGGAATATGCAGGTAAAAAGAAGTGGTATTTACAAGCAAAAAAAAGTGACTGCACATGGTATGTAATCATTAGTAAAATCCAGTGCTGCTGGAGTTCACAYAGATTAACTGTGCAGCTGGATAATAACTCTGGAAATGTTTATGACCAAGTGTTATTTGTACTTCCTTTATGCAAGATAAGGAAAATCACATTTTTTTGTTCTGAATCATAAACTAATCAACTCTGGTTTTCACCCACTCAGATTTCTCCCTCTGCAGGGCAGTCTCAACAGATTTAGGTCCCAGACCATTRAATTAATTGGACATAGGGTCTCCAGAACGCAATCCCACAAATAAACCCCCAACACCTAATCACTYAGGTGTWAGTCTGAACCCCAYTCCTTTCCAAAACACACTCAAATTYGGTCCTGTAGGCATGCAGAACCTGTAGGCATTCCAGAACCTGGAGTCCTTCCTTGAAGATAAAAGGATGGGACTTTAAAGGTWTACTTTTTTAATAGGTTTAGAGGAAAAACTTTATCTCATTGGATAACTGATGGGGTAAAGCACTCAGAAAAGTGGGGAGGCTGGATTTAATGCCTTATTTAGCCTAACGGGGATTCGATCCCACATCTCCTACTTAAGAGTTCAAGACGCTACAAGAGGCATGAGGATGAAGACAGAGCACAAGAAAGAATGCAAACCATTGCTTCTTCCTCTTTTAGAAGCCAAGATTTCAAAGTCAAGTAGCTATTATTGTATTTTGAAAGCATCCTATTCATGTACTAGGTATGGCTGAAACACAGATGAGTCCTGTTTAATGGAGCCAACTGCTCTCCACCTAGGGCTTGGATTGGGGTGGGGAAGGCAGGCATCTCAGGCTGTGGCATTTCTTGTCATCACAAAAGCGTACCTGAGAAACATCATGCAGTGATAAATAAAGGAATATAGTTGTAATGCCCAAGCTAGTTCAACTTCCAGAGCAGCTACACACACTTGCATTGAACCTTCTTCAAATGTAACCTCTAAAGTGACAGCTATATGTATGGAGGATAAACACCCAGAAACACTCCATGGGATAACATTGGGTGAAACTCAGTCTTGGTCATCCCAGAGACAGGACATGCCATCCTAARTTACAATAGGAGATATAAGAGAACTGTTGTATGATGGCATATCCCTCATCTGGAGAACATGATTATACAAAGCCACATAAGAAAAAAAAGGAATATAAGTGGTCTGATGAACGTGTACCTTTCTCTACCCCAAACTTTTACAAACATTTTCTCTTTTAAGCAGTTCAGCAGAGTTGAGCCAGACAGAACAAAAAGAAGATACACATGAAATATTTTCAATATTCTGAATGGACAACCTAGTAGGCKCCCTTTAAAAACAAAAAGTGCAACCACGTAATTTCGAAGCCCCATATGTGTATCCAGAAGGTAAATAACAACCTTTTGCAAACCGGCATTAGGAAATCACGCCCCGAGTCTGGCTAGCCTGATTCAGGACTCGTGAATGCGGAGCGCCGCGCTCCGGGGCAGCCGAGAGGCAGCGGCCGGACACGGCGCGGCTCCAGGTGCGGTGCCCGGCCCGGCGGGGCCCCCGCCCAGCCCCGGGGAATCCGAGAGGCAGCGGCCGGACACGGCCCGGCTCCAGGTGCGGTGCCCGGCACGGCGGGGCCCCCGCCCAGCCCCGGGCGAGGCGCGGCGGCTGCGGGGCGGTGCCGGGGCCGGGCCGGGCAGGGGGAGGCGCGGAGCGGAGGGGACCGGCCCGCCCGCACCTGAGTCCGCCCTCGCCGCCGCCTCCGCGCCCACCTGGCCGCGCTGGGCACAGCAGCCGCCGCCGCAGCAACATGTTGCCCAGGGGAGCCTCGTCCATGCCGCCGCCTCCCAACCCCGCTCCCTACTTCCCGCCTGCCCGGGTTACGCTGCCCTCCGGCCTGGAGATCCTGCGCACCTTTTCGGGAGCCGTCATCTTCCTGGAGATCGTGAGTGCGAGGGGGCCGGGGTGGGGAGAGGCTGAGGGCCTGCCCGCGCACCTCGCGGCGGCCGAGGCGTTCCCCGCGCCGCTCACCTGCCATTTTGAGAGCGGGCAGGTGTGGGGCCGGGGCTGGGCCGGGGCCGGGCCGGGCCGGGGCTCTGCTGCTGGACCGGGGCTCTGCTGCTGGACCGGGGCTCTGCTGCTGGACCGGGGCTCTGCTGCTGGACCGGGGCTCTGCTGCTGGACCGGGGCTCTGCCGGACCGGCCCCGCTCCGCACACGGATTAGTTCCGCGGGGTAGTTTGAGCTGTCGAGGGCTTTGAGCCACGCTGTCCCCTCACTCAAAACCGCGCCATGGAGAGTTACAGCGGGTTTTGCCCGTGCGCGTCCGCTGCAAACTCCTGTAAGTTATTCAGTGTCGTGTGTGCGTTAGACCTCGCCGGTGTACACAGGGCTGAGGACCTTTGAGCTGAGGTTGGGTATGAGGCTCTGCAGTGCCATTGATTAGTGGGAGATAAAAAAAAAAAAAAAACTTGGTAGAATTTACCTGATTTTTTTTTTCCTTGTGGTCAGAGCAGAATACTGCTTGAGTCCCAGCCTGTGAGCCGGATCCCACCCCACAAGCGGTAAAACTGCACCTGAGCAAAGAACTCAAAACACAAGTCCGGGCACTAATTCAGGCTCASAGTCAGTAGGGACAAAAGGTTAATTTGGTTGGCCAACCAGTTGTATATATGACAGCCAAGCTGAAGTAGACAGGTGTAGTATGAGGGAAATAGCACAACAGTGGGTGCTGAGATTAGCAGTCTACAGTACAGTTCTAAATTTATTTTTAAGGAACCCCACACGTTTGCACATTCAAAATACTGAAAACATTTCATGTGTCTCTGTTTTTTGTTTAACAGACWCTTTCTGCTATCTCTTCTGCTTCCTCACTGCCCATCACTCTTTGGTCACCAAGTAACAGACTTGCACCTGCAGTCTTGTGAAACTAGAGAAAGTTTGGTTMTTCACAGCAGCTAAAAAAGGAACCRTAGAGAACAACTTGAACACTAATACATAAACCCATGGGAGCTTTGAACTGAGACTAGCAATGCATCTTTATATATATGCTGCTGCAGTGTAATGCCACAGAGAAACCAACTGATTTTATAGCAGGCATCTTTTGAAAGCTATCTCTAATCCTATCTTGATACAAAAGAAAGATCTCTGAATCTGAAAATGTTACCTCTGACTTCCTGGTTGTAAATCTGTAGAATTTAAACAGGAAAGAAGTAACTTGCTTGGAAATTGATGTTAGTTATCACCATTCAGCAGGTTGGATTATGAAGTTAAATCTTCCTGTAGTAAAAAAAACATACTTAGATGACAATTATGATTCACTCCATTTATGCTTTTTTATTAAGAGGCGGGACTTGCAGGAAGAAATAGTACCATTCCATAGGCCACGAGTTGATTAAACCAGGGAAGCCTTAGAGTGCATGAATTCTCCATCAGGCCATCCCTACCACAAAGTCCCTACCACTCATTTGCTGTGAGCAGGCTGCTGAAATGAAAATTGGCAATGCTGAATTCTTCTCCAAATTATGATGATTCTGAAAAGCTGTAAATTTTTCTAGTCTTTATAGCATAGTTTACAACTCACCTTATTCTGTATTCTAGTTTTCTCTTTCACTTTATTGCTTTGTGTCCTCTTTCATTTTGGTATTATAAATACATTGAAAAAAATGGGCGTCATTTTGTTTTGTTTCTGTCTCTCATCTGATTAGGACTACATAGCTAAACAGTATGAGACAGATTCCAAATCTGTAGTACATTCTTTTTCTGCTAATTTGTGCATATATAGAGAGATCTGTGTATGAGTGTGTGTGAACATGTTTTCACATTTCTTATATTTTGCTCAAAATCAGAGTAAGGGTGAAATTTTCAGCAGCAGCACAGAAATCACCTGGGTTTGTAAATCCCATTTCAAGACTATTTTAAGAGTTTTAGGAATTTCAGAGTGCCTTTGTCTTTTTGCCACTTAGTGCCTAAAATTTCTGAGAAGAGGACTTGGGCTTTCTGAGCACTTTTGAAGTGTTTCCTCTTGCTTCCTAAGAGTCATCTGATGAAGTGTAATGTGTGATATCAGTTCTTAGGCAGACAGGACTAAGTGAAAGTTATCTCTCAGTTTATTCTCTCTATTCCTTTCCTTGCAGCTGTTTGGAACAATAGTCTGGATTTTGGTCGCCGCTACCCAAATTCCACTACCGCTGCTGCAGGGATGGGTGATGTTTGTGGCAGTGACTGCATGGTTCCTCTCCATTGTGTTCCTCTCTGTGTTCCTCCTTGGTTATGCAAATAGAATTGCTGTCAACTGGAACCAGGCGGTAAGATATTTTTTCTTTATTTGAGGATTCCCTTTGTTTTATAAACTGAACATTATTTAATGAGAAGTGTCAATCCCAAGTCTTAACACCTGGCCTTCTGTTTTAGCAGAAAACTTTTCAAACAGAGGAATTCAAAACTGGAAAAAGAAAGAATAGGGTTACAGAAGGTGACAGAGGAAATACAGGACCTGTTTTATGATGGTGGCTGAAGGAGCTTTTGAAGCTGTTTGACAGAGTACACTTGTCTTCTCTGAGCACATAAAATGCATGAGCAGCAGGAAGAGGACTAGTTTAACAAGGTGTGACAATAAATTGTTTTAAATGGCCAGAAATTATTGTGGACTGGAAATCAGGAAATACTTTCTGACTCTTAGAGAGGTGGCAGTAATACMTTGTGAATAATGGGATGTAGAAAGATACATCTAATATTGTAAAGGAAAGGATRCATTTATGAACATACTGTGTGATGTGGTTGTCTGAGATAGCACAGGCTGCACTTTACTACTCAGAAAGTCCCTTCCAGTTCTTAAGAAAGTCTACTGGTGACTTTTGGGTCAATTCCTCAAAGCTAGGGCAGAAATGGTGAGTGGCTGTTAGGCCTTAGRTGATAAAAAAACAGAACAACCTGCAGTATGATACAGCTTAACATCTAATTGGGAGAATTAATGTCTTCATCTTTCTTAGGAGAAGCTTGGTGAGATCACACATGAAAGTATACTCTGCTCAGCTTTTCATTGTGAAGACAGACCCTGATTCTTGCTGTAATTGATTGTTATGGCTTGTGCCAGTAGTTCTCAAAGACTAGAGCTTCCTGTTAAAAAGGGGAAGTTGTTAGTACTGGTTTTGCCAGCCACATGGATACCTCAGATTATTGGCTGGTAATTTACGTGCTCCTTGGTTGTTGTTAACTGGTTTTTGCTTTGATTTTTTGGTACTCAAGTAGCATGAGATGATATCACACTCTTTTACATTAATGGAAGTGAATAATAAGAGGTGGCAAAATTGTGATCAGMATTTTTATTTTTTWAAAAAAAATTTCCAAAAGGTCTGCAACTTCTAAACTACTGAARTTTGTCTGTCTGTAACTGCTGATCACCTTCACCTTCCTCCTACACAGCTTAGTTTTCCTATTGACACTTTCCTTGATCATAGCTAGAATTGCATGCTTCAGCTATAAACATCTGTGGAGATTTTTCTGTTCAGGTAATTAATAGCCAGGCCCTTAAGATAAAAGTTCTTTAAAGCAAATCATAAAGCTTCACGAGTTTGGGGCTCTGATAACTTCAAAACCCACCAGTGCTAACAGACTGGATTCCATTAAAAACAAAGTTTAACACTTTGATAGTGAATAAGCATACATACAGCAYCAGYTTTCCAGCATAATACAGGCAGTAATTAGGCTAATAATCAGTTACAATCACAGAGACCTTTACAGGGATTTATGCTGCAACATCCTCACAAATTATGATGCAACAAAGCCCTTGAGCATGTGCATAACTAAACTAAATTAATAGTGTCCTGGGTTTCATTGAAACTGTTTGCCAGTTTATAATCATGCATCTATTTAAGAGTTACTGGATAAGGATAAAGCCTTTTATAGATTGAAAATGCTATACAAATTTCATCTTAAAACAATTGTATGTGTGTTGCACATTGGCTACTTGATACTGACAGTGATTTGTTGCACTGTTAACTTTCTCCCCTTGTATATAATAAWTTGCTGGAAAACTTTCTTTGTCAGGAAATTGATACATGACATGTATAAAAACTGCATCTGTAACTTCATCTAAAAATCTGTCATAACTCAGTCAACATGTTAAATAAATGCAGAGGGAATAATTTTTTCTCTAACTTGGTAGCTGAATCCCAGCCCCCTCCAGCTGTCAACAAAAATAAGAGAAGACACTTYGCCACTATTTTCAAGTAGCCAAATGTTTTTTAACTTGTTGGCACTAAACTATTTAGCAGCACTTCATAAGCTGGTTTTTTTAACCTTCCGTTGCAAATAAATAACTAATGGAAATACTAAAACTATTTTTGTTACTATAAATGGAGTCCTGCATTTACTAATCCCTTATGCTGTAAGTATATCTGCCCATAGTAATAGAGTTATTTACAAAATAAGATGGTACACATTGGAAAAGATGGGCCTTATGGAGCTCCATCACTCAGCACATCAGTGTATTAAACCAGATGGTATGACAGGTACTGCCCTTTACAGCCTGACTCACAACACACTCATTTACAAAATTAGATGTGAACTGACCTACCATTCTGCTCTGATAGTGCTTTGYATAYACTTTGTRTGAGGTTTCAATGATTTTACAAGTGYGGAGGCAAGGGAGAGTTAGGCATTATGATAACAATTACTAAAACCCCAAAAAAGGTTCCTCATAAGGTCTTGGGGTTTCTGGTCACAGAAACCATAACCATGTAAATGTGAAACCTTACTGATGCTACAGAGCTACACTGTAATTGCTGCCAGGAGAAGGAAATTAGAGGGTTTGGCAGGAGAATGAAGGAAATGAAAGAGTGTTTCCTGAAAATAYCTGTCCTGTATGCCGTCCTGATCTAAGTGGAATGGGGAACCGTAGTAGCAGCTTATATCATAACTTACCAAAACTGACTAGGGTGTGATTTAAGTAGCTTCAGCTGTGATCAACTGTGGAACAAATAATGAGTTTGAAAAGAAAATTCTTGCAATAAAATCTTAGCTATATGAAGAAACTGCATTTCTCTAGACAGGGTAATGCAGCACTTTCTCATTTTGCTCACAGACAGGTAGCAGATAAGAATGATTTCTAGTGGAGGCGAGTGCTGTCTGCTGGACTCATATAAAGGATCCTGGGTTCTCACTCCAGGCATACTGGTAGTCCATTGCACTCAAGTGAAGTTAAAGTTCATAAAGAATCARTTAGTACTGGAGATAGACTCTATATTATGGATATCATCATAAAGCATACATTAACTTGTGTATATTTTAGAACTTGTGTCCGTGGATTTTGCAGATCTTTACAGGTAAAGGTACAGAGTAGATGTTGTATGGATCAAGAATTGAGTGCAGTCTGAAAATGTCAGCTTTTCAGACTGAACAACTGAAGGAGATTTTAGAAGAATWGTTTAAGCATTTTTAAGCTGTACTGGAACATGTCTTAGATCTTGCTGCTGGAACAATGGACTCTGAAATAGGACCTTTAAATGCATCAGACCTTTTTTACGTGTGTCAATAATGGAACCCAGAAATGAGAGTTAGCTGTTTAAACCTTGTGTTCAGTTAGCATTCATCACAGAGGAGGAAATTGCCTAGAGAAGGCCAGGAGAGAAGCATATTTGAAGTGAATCTTAAAACGTGTTCTCTTAAGTCTTGGACATTCCACAGTATCATGGAGAACTGTCAGGTTACTGACTATTGGGTAGAGCAAAGTGAGAGAGGGTTGTGGAAATGCCTCAGTTCTTGGATCTCATTGTATTGGGAAGTTGAACATTTAATCTGTGTCAAGGCTGAGGTGTTTATAAGCCTTTAGAGAAGCAAAATTTAAGCACAAAGGGAGGATTTATATAGCTTTGGTTATAGCTGAGAAGGGATTTATGGAACTGCAATACTGTATTGTACTGCTTGAATTGTATAAAATTGGCCTGTATATGTCTTCTTTTTAATCTGTATGAAGGGAGACTTCTGTAAACTCTAATGTCTGAAATGTCAGCATGTRTACATAAATATGAGCATGTGCCTCTTAATTTGAAAGAATACAAGGTTTGGGGAGAGAGAGACCTGCCCCTTATCTCTAATAATGTTAGTGAGTTGCTTTTAATTGCAAGAAGCTGTGGAAACATGTCCAGGTTAAGCTCTCAGATGGATTTAACTCTGCTTATCTAGAGTTAGTGCTATCAGTTCTTGTTTCATGTTTCAGTGTTGAATTTCATCTGTACTGAGATGAGAAGAACTAGATATTAATTGGTTCCTGAACTGATTCTGTTACTTGCTTTTTAGGATTTCATTTTCCATGGGGCTACTTTTGTCTTTTATTTTGGAGCATTTCTACTGCAAGCAGCAACAACATCTCTGCATCACTTTCCCCGCAAATTCAACTCCACCACGCAAGAGAGGATTCTAAGYGGTCGTGAATATAACATAAGCATAGCAGCCTCGGTATGTGTTTSATATATTTGTATCAGTGGAACAGAAGTCTGGAGCAAGCCTCTGTAGCACGCCATTCAACTTGGGAATTTAATAGCAAATTGGAATAGAAAGARGAGCTGTGAGAGAAAGAATTTCATTTGAGAGCAGCAAATAGTATCTAAGAGGAACATGCAAAAATACTGCTATAAGCTAGTGCTAATGTGATAGGTACTCTTCAGTACAGTGTAGGGTTGCTGCTCTTCACTGTAGTGTTTTAAATATATGATCACTACCGCTCATAATTTTTAGACAGGTTATTTTTTAAAAACAGTTTTGGTTATTAGAGGAAAAAGAACAACTGAACCTTTATTGGAGGAGGGGGTATGAAATTCACACCTGTGCTTAAATTTTCAATTGCTTTTTTTATACCATTTAGATAGTCCTGAACATGCCATGGAGATAAAAAAAATTGCACTGGGTCTTTGTGAAGCTCCACATATGTACTTACTACATCAGTCATAAAAGTTGTCTGTCAGGATCCTGTCTCTTACTGCAATGATATTATTGCTTTTCTTGATAGCCTAACCTCAGAATGCATTTTTCTCCCTGTAATTGCATCATCACTGAATCAATGTATTTGGTGATGTGGGTGTGCAAATCTGAATCAGAAAATATTCAGGCTTTATTTTTCTCCCTGGCTGGACTCTTCAGGGGTGAGTGGAGCTGTGCCAGGTAGGCTTAACTTAAAGAACTGCAACTAGTGCTCTTAATTTTTTGTTCCATCCTGAGGGTATTGCATATCAGGGAACTGTATATTAAGCTTCTGAAACCCTCTGTGCTTATCTGTTGTCTTTAAAACTCTGTGCACCCTAAATTTTGCACAGTAAGCACTTTCAGTTCATCTTAAGAGAAAACCAGATGAATGTAAGGTGTAAGGTTCACATTGTGTCTGCAAGAGCAGAATAGAAAAGTCTTTTGCTTTGGCAAGGCAGTCCCRAAGAGGTGAAGTGGGTGTGTCAGTGTCCCCAAGGCCAGAGTTCCTCACCATCACCCACCTGCCAGTAACACACTCCTTCACATCTCATCCCTGGGTGGCCATGTGGCACAAGGACAGAGGAGATGTCCCAGCTGTGCGTGAGCTAAGGGAAGTTCTTTATACTAAGCCAGTATTTCAGATTCTACCCTTAAGTGTATTTCTTCAGTCCTAGTTCTGTGTGTTCAGATACCACTGAATATATGGTCGCTTCAGTCATTTTGTCTGACAACAGGGTACTAGACACTCCAAGAAAAGGTTCTCACTTCCAAACTACCTTTTTTAAGGGAGAATTAAGTTCTTCAAGCCCCTCAAAGGTAGAGGAGCAAAAGAACTTTTATAACTTGTCTCAGTATCTTAATCAAGAGATGCTGGAAAATGGTGAATGAGATAAATGTAGTCTTTTGTGTCTTTGCATTTTTTGCGGAAGTGTATATTTAGGAATTCAAAACATAMAGAAAAAAAATTTAACCCTTTAAAATATTTTGTTGAAACAGTCCTGTGAGCTACATGACAAAAAGAAAAAAAGGTTGCTAACATTCTGTCTTTTAAAATTACTTTTATATACCATGATCAGAAATATATGTATGTTCATTTTTTACAGGTGATGGTTCTRTTGTGTAGCATTTATTCTAAACTTCTAATTAGTCAAATTAACACTTGTATGTAAAGCAAAGAATTACTGAATTTGCATGTTAGGAGAGTCAGAATTCATTGTTAGCACTGGACAATATGAGAAATGTTTTTTCAGAAATTCAGTTTCTCATTTTCTTTGTCCAGTGTACATTACATATTTACTTTTCATTGTGGCATGACCTTGAGTTCACATCTRTCCAGTTCAGTTCTTGAGCAGGAGCAACTTCCCTGGCATTGCATGGGAAGTTGTTCTAATGGCTGGATATCTGGTCAAGGAGGCCAGATGTGGAGTTATTTCTGTATTTCTGCAAGTTGAAGAGTTCTGCTGTTTAGAGGAGTGTCTTTGATGTTTGCTGGCATTCAGTTGTAAACAYCTGAGATGGATGTTTGATCAGTGTAGATAAGAGAGCTGAAACACACAGTACGTACACATGTTTACTTTGCACYGTAACTTATGCAGAAATTCTATTTCATATGCTGTTTCAAAATGTCTGCTGAAGCAAGCAAGCAAAAAGTAGTAACGTGACATAGTACTAAAATAGGGTTATTACTGAGAAGTTCCTGAGAAAACTTCAGAGGATCCCAAACCTATCTTTGCCTTATTAAGCATTTTGGTTGGGGGAGGTAATTTGGAATCACTTGTGTTTCTATATTCATTTAGAATAGAAAAATACTGTAGAAYAATATGTGTGATTCACTTTCTTCTTTTTTCTCTCTGCTCCTCCTCTAGATTTTTGCCTTTGCAACAGCTGTTTGTTATGGTTGCAGCACAGCCCTGGCATTAAGGAGATGGAGGCTAAATAACAGCTGAAGAGAGGTTAATRCCCACGTGTTCTACTTCAGATCAAATTAAGTCCTACTTGTCTGTTTTACTGTAATTTAACTCCAGAAAGACTGTTTTTTTCTGCTTGAAATCTGTTTTAAATGCAAATAAGCCTTAATCAGGATTTCCTCAAGAGAAAGCAAGTTTCCATCTCTTCCCTTTCTAATATTTACTTTTACTGTGTAYTCATTGTAAGTGTACTCATTGTAGGGTATTAAAGAGTTTAGGGATAAGCAGATATGCCATTACCAGACAACAGAACTCCAGTACTACACCAGAAGAGGAAGAAAATGGAAACCAGGCCAAGATACTAACTGCACAGGCAGCTAAAAAGCTCCACCCTTGTTAAATCTTGGGATTAAGTGTTTTGCAGCGTTACAGTGCACTCTATACAGGTACAGCCTTGAGGCTCCTGGTAAAGTCATGGGTGTCCTGTGTGCTGTCCTTTGCATGATCAGAGCCTCAGCTGACTTTGAAATACCAACTTAGTATATGTTGTTAACTTCGATATACAGAGAAAATATTTTTAAAACCATCCAGTGAAATCTTTGTATTCTCTCTTAGTTACGTCTGGCTATGGTCACCTGATCCTTAAAGCTTACTGTGTTCCATACTAGATGAAAACTGGGACTGTCAATCAGTAGTTCATTAGTTTTAGGAATTTAGCCTAATCAGTTCTATTTATACTACAAAACAGTGCATTGTGGTGTGTGTGTATATACATGGTATATTTTCGTTTAACAGGAATTTTTGCACTCTTTAACATTGTTGGAGTACGGCTTTGTTCTTGCTACTTCAAGTGCTGCATTTGTTAGGTATTATGTGAGTCAATATAATTTGAATGGAATGTTACCAAATAGTGAATAATGTCTGACCTCAATTCTTGCAGTGTGTTATTTGTTGCATTCTAAACCTGCAGTGTTGTAAAGGTGTTTTTTATTTGGACAGATGCCTATGCAACATTTTACTGAAAGCAGTGGAATGTAAAGCAGTCCTTCCATTATGGAGTTTGCTTTTCGCACAAATGATGTTTAATTGAGCCTCTCTTGAATATCCTGTTGTATCATGACATGCAATATTAGATATGGAAAATTGATAAGGCAAAACTGAACGATAGCATTGTGCTCTGCTCCCTGACACTCATGTTGTTTTGCACATGGTGACACTTTTTTTTAATTATCCTAGTAAACAGTTTTTGCATTTGTGAATAGTGCCAAAAAGATAAGCTGGGACCATAAAGGCTCCCTGTCATTTGTAAAACAATTTGTTCACTACAAATWTATCTTGCCAGTGTACCTGATTATTCTGCAGAGACCAGCAGTGATTGCATAAGGGAAGACTGGATTTCCTTCATTCCCTGGCCTACCCATTCTCCTTGAGCCAGCAAGAGTGTCTGCCATGGAGATTACTTCATTTAATTTGTCAGGTACAAGGATCTCTGAGGGGCACCCACCCTCAGCAGTGCCCTGCTGACCCAGGACAGGTTCTTATGGGTGACACAGCCMTGAGTGCCACCCTTCTGACTATGGAACCACTCTGTCATCCTGAATTACTACAATGGGATGTTGTCACAGTTGTTTTCTGAAGGTTTTTTCTTCCAAAGATTTTGTACTCTAGCTGKTTTTCCCCCCTAATTCTCTATTTGYATTGMRACTTTTTGTRASCATTTTATCTAGAGCCATATAATTTAAAACATACTTCATATTGTATAAAATACATTTAGACTRGAGTATATGGATGAAAGTATATAACAAATAGTTTTGCTAATCAGCATTAAAATACTTAATATTTTTATGGCAGTAGTCTGGTTATTAATTTTGTCTTTGGAAAGTWCCAAAARAACTGCCTTCCAACTCTGATTCACCTGATGCTAGACATACAAAACTGTGGCTAAGATTTCATGCAAAGGCACAGTTGCATTGGGGCTAATTTCATGTATGTTTAACTAGTTTCACAGCTAGTTTGSCATGTGGCATTGTGTGAATATTGGTGAGTTAAGTCAGTTACGATGTTTCAAACAGATGCTGATCCTGGGTTTGATTTCTCCCATATCCTGCAACCTGGCAGTGCCCTGCACACCATGGACTGTGAATGCCACAGCTGCAGTCTCTGCAGCCAGCTGAGATYATGGAGGGCAGATCTTGATGCTTTGCCTGTTTAAAGTTACAGAGTATGAATCCCACATACAGAGTTGGTTAAAGAGCTGTCTGAGCTTAGTTGGCCTTTGTATCTAACCTCCCAGTTCAAACCTGWGGTATAAAACCCATGGTTGGTGAGTGCTATTCAAGTCTCTTAATCTGCTTGTGGAAGTCCAGATAACAGAGTGTGGTTAGCGTAGCATGGAAACTGTTTGCATAGTGAGAAAGGACTGAACTTTCCCTCTTAAGTATCAAAGACAAACAAAGGACAAAGAGATAAAGGTAAAAACTACAGTAATGAAGAGCAACTTTCACAACTAAAATGGAGTGAAAGAATAAAATCTTTGTGTAGTATGGACAGTTTCACTGTACCTTGAGGAAGATCTGTGGATGGTCAAACGGGAACATGCAGTTATGTTTTCAAAAAAAAAGAAAGTCAGTAGTTAATTTTGAATTTCTTTATATTGGCAGCTAAAAAGCTAGGTGTGACTCAGAAATGCTATGTGCATGCTGGATGTCTGTATGCAAATACTGATACGGGAAAAATATGTAATCCTTGAGACAGGGTTCCTTGGGAAAGTGTGCAAGCTGGTTATAAAAAATCTCATTCTTCCTTGAAAGAGAATTCCTCCAAGCCTATGACCTTGAAGGACACAAGCTTAGACCTCTCCAAAGAATGGAAGGCGGGGGGGGGGGGGGATGGGAGAGGAAGGGAAGGGAAGGGAAGGGAAGGGAAGGTTTGGGAAGGTTTGGGAAGGTCTCTCAAGGGAATGGAAGGTTGGGGGGGGGGGTGGCATAGAGAAATAATTTATCTAAATTAATTTGAGGTGAAAGGGACAAGACTGCAGATGCCAAATAGTGTTTTCATCAAATATCTATTTGACATGAAGCTGCAGTGCAGCAGTACCTAAGGTACTGTGCAGGTCCGTACTCTTGGTAAATATTTCATGGTGCTCTGGATACCACTGTGTGGTAGCCACTGGTTAATAAGGAGAAGGAGCCTCAAAGGAAGATTCCCTTTGAAGGGTGCAGAGATAAGCAACAGTTATTGCAGTTATTCTCTTTCTGGAGAGAATTGAAAGTGCATGTTTCAAAGCTAAAATTTTGTTTGAATTTTGGTAGAAAATAGGCGCAGCAGGTGCTTCACAGAAGTCCTGACTGTGCTGAGTATCTGGAAATAATCCAAAGTGACACAAGTCCTGCAGGATTATTGATCTGCATGCAATCAGTCTGTTCAGATTCTCATGATTTCTGTGGCTGTGTATATTGGTTGTAACTCCTGATGTGAGTAACGTGCTGCTGTAAAATGCTGCCTTAAAATATAGATGTAAACCAAAGCTTTTAAAAGAAAGAGGCAGAACCAGTGACTACACAAACCTGTGCCCATCATAAAAATAAAAGAAAAAACATTGGTAATTACCAGACCTGTGTCTTCTATCTCTTTTGCTTTGAAAACCAGATGACAATGCTGTCTCCTGTTGCACTTCCTTTAATTGTTGTATTTTTTTATTTGCTTTATAGCTTTAAAGAATTTTGACATTCATATTTTCTCCATCTGAATTTCAAACAATATTGTTGAGACCTTGAAACTCTTAAAACTTACTTGTTCCATTTTTATTAGAGACTGTGAAACTGGTCTCTGAACAAAATTGTCCTGATGCATTTCATGCCCTTCTGCCAGGCTGTCCAAGTCATGCAGAAAAGCTTCCCAGGTTTTTTTCTAAAGATAACAGTGAACCATTAGTTCTCAGATTGAGATTTAAATAGAACATTGCTCTTTTCAATCTTACAAAAAAAAAGCAAGAGCATGTTGTCTTTCTTTGCTATATTTGTACAATTGATCATGACATAGTAATCTCTTGAAATGTGAACAGTTGAAACATAAAGAAAACCAGAAAGAAAGAAAACAAAACAAGAAAAAGCAAATCTTATGTGCTAAAATTAGTAAACAGCATATTTAATTTTTCTTTAAGAAGCTGAATTTAGCATGATTGATCTCTTTTCTTCCACTTTCATTTGCTCAATTATGGTGTTTATCTAAACACCTTTTTAACCTGACCAGCTTAGAATTTGCTGTATTTATCCTCAAGGTGGTTCTGTAAAGAAGATAAGTGCTATTCCCATTTCACAGGTGGAAAACTTGAACACAGACACTGAAAAACAACTTGCTTGCCAGAGGCCTCTCACTAGAGATCTGTAGTGGAGCAGGAAGAGAAACCCTGGCTTCTCAAGTGAGAGTTTCTTGGTGCCTTGTGCAGCAGCCCCTACTGCTGCCCACTGTGGGCTGCACGGAAGCGTTGTACTGTGGGTTGTATGTGACCTGACCCCACTCCTGTCTCTGGCATGGTGGTATTTCTCTGGCAATTAGTTACATGGGGTTAATAGGTAGAATGACTGTTTGTGGAGGATTATGAGTCAAACGGAGGTTTAACGTGCCAAATCAGCATTCCTAGATCAAACATCATAGTTTCCRGGTGCTCTAACAAATTTTGGTTATCCAGCTGTAAATAGACTACATGGAGTTCCTGTTTAAGGTGTTGATCTGCCTTCTGCACCCTAAGAGAGGATAAAGGTCCTCAGGAATCTGCAGATTTCAGCTACTCCCTGCCATACATGTTTGAGCCCTAAATTCTTGGTGCTAGCAAAACACTACCTGCCTTAAGCCTGCCAGGACACAGCACCTTTCAGTGCAGAAACCTGAGCTAAGTTTTGGCAACTCACCTGGCAGGTTACCTTTCAAGGGAACACAATGATTAAACTAGATCATGTCTAGGTGTGGTTTTAACATCTTTATTGCCATGGGATTATTGCAAATGTCGGTAAAAGTTCTGGAGATTGTGGACAAAATATTCATCCATTTATGTCCAGAGTTACTGTGCGTGACTACAGAGATGCTCTTAAGCAAGAACTGAACCCTGTGGATCTATACAGGGTTTGATTATGGTTGCAGCATTATTAGTAATCTTGAAAGAATGACTGTGGATTTTAATCTCATCCAAACACCTTTTCCTGATGAGGTCTCAGTCATTGGACCAGTGCTGTGACACAAGAGACAGAGGATCAGAACAAACCCGAGAAAAGCTCTGCATACCTTGAAGAGAAAAGCATCATAGAATAGTCTGGGTTTGGAAGGGACCTTTAAAAGCCCTGCTCCTGCTGCAGATCTGGGACCTCCCACAGTTGTGCCCTGTACAAAGGCGCTGGGACTTCCAAGTGATCTGATTGCCTGCTTGAGCAGTTCTGCTTGCAGTGCCCACCGATGTCTGGCTTTTAACATCACTTAGTTGCAAGTGATTTGGTTTCAGTAAGCTTTACCAAACAGACCAATAAGGCAAAGAATGGTTTTTTTTTTCCCGTATAGAAATAAATAGAAGTGTGGAAGATTTGCTGACTCATTTTGTCCCACACAAGCATCGCAGCCAGTTTTCATCATGTTTATTTGGAAAATGGAAAACATACTTTAGCATAACTTAATAACGTAATTCATAACATCACATCTTACTCCTCACAAACTGAGTGCCCTGGAAGTATTTCCAGACTCCTGGGTCCAGGTGAATACCCCAGCTAGTTGCATCCGTATGCCACTGTAAGACCTAAAGCAGCATCTTCCTTTTTCCCTGCCTCTTCCCCKTTTTTGGAAAGCAAAAAGGGAGCTGCAGCATGATCGAGACAGGCTGGACAACTCAAAAAAAACTAATGTGGTGTATTAGAATATGATTCACTCTTCAGTAGGAGGCRTAGATGCTCTTGAGGTGGTTCCACCATGATATAAAGTTATGGCAAATGGGCAAATGGGGAAATGGGGTGGGGGCCCTACTGGATAGAAAAGGAACATTAGACCTCAGTACTTGGCTACGATTGCTTCCTCTATAAAATCTGGCATTGAATCCAGCACTTAGCTGCTTAATATACCTGTTTTCAAACTGTAAATACCTTGGCCTGGAATCTAAAGCCCTGGGGAACCTGTAGGGCCAGCTTAGAGCTCTGGGCTGTTGGAATGAGAGGCAAGGTGAATCATCACCAGATACTTTAACCCAAAATTCAGGAGCAGAGGAGAAACAGAGCTGTTTGCAGGTCCCTTTTCCAACTTATTGCCAGCTCTAAGGATTGAGAGAAGGGCAGGAACAGTTCTCTTCTACCTTGGCTCTGATCACCATGGACCCAGAATGAGCTGCAGGACAGAAAAAAGGACCTTTACAGAAAAATCAGAATTCTGATACACCTGACCTACCCACAGCAGTGACAACTSTTCCTGGGCCAAGTCCAAGGTCCATCCCCTGACCTAAAATGAAAATTAAATGTATTCAATAATGAAATTTTCAAACAAGCCTGAGTCTTAGTTGGAGCAAATGTTCTTAGAAAAAAAGACAGTTGCCTCACAGAGAAATGTAATGGTGAGCAAGAAGCCGAATTGTTCTTTTATTTATATAAATGCAACTTCTTTTGAGRTCTAGCTGCCAGTGAGGAATTTCACAAATGGAAATAAGAGCAAAATTTCCCCTCAGC